CGGGCATGGTTCGGGCATGGTTCGGGCAAGGGGGGGTTTGGGTTCAGATTTGTCCTGCGGAATGGTATTGGTATGCAGGTTGAAGGACAACTGGCTTTTTATCATTTTTTCTCAGATTTGGGAGTTTGGCGGCCAAGATTCGTGTAAAACCTAGAATTCTGCAGGAAAATCAAGCACAGTGCAGGAAAATCAAGGATTCCGCAAGAAAATCAAGGATTCTGCAGGAAAATCAAGGACAGTGTTTTTTTGGGGACTTTTCAGGGAGAACTGCATTCTGCAAGCCAAGTCTGTAGAGAATCGCCTTCATATTGATCGCAGGCGCTCCTGGAAAGCTCTACTGGTGTCCAAGGCTCAGTTCAGCGATTGAGCTCATGATTTGCCTTAACTGCAGCTTTTCATTCAGTGAGCAGCAGGTGCTAGGTTACCGGATGTAAGGAGTTTAGACTGATGCTCATTGTGACATGGTACCTGTCATGTCATTGAGTCTCCAGACCAGTGGCTATCATAGGGCTATCCAAAACAGGCTGTGTGAATTCTCCATTGGTCCAAGTATCCACAGCTGGATCTTGCGTGTTAGCGCATGGTAGGAGTTGCAGGCAATCATAGCTCAGGTCATGCCATGTCATTGAGTCTCCAGACCAGTGGCCAGCATACTGCTATCCTAGGCTGTGTGGGAGGCCTACAGAGGCCGAAATTGTCGAGTTTTTCCGTTACCGCCATGGCGTTGGACAGTACAGATGCGCTGGATCTCGAAGCAGATCTGGGATTGAGTGGTGGTGAGGGCCAGGACAAGCCCGACGATTCTGCCAACTTCCCTGCAGGCCTCACACCGCTGGCAGATGAGAATGATGGCGATGTTGCTTCCTGTGCCTCTGATTCATGGGACCATGAACCCGAGTTTGGGCCAGCAAATGCTGATGAGTCAGATGCCTGGGTCCCGCGTTTCTTTGCCCACATCAGGGATGCTGGGAAGATCCGCCATGTGAGGAATCAGCTGTCCCATGGTGTTCTGTTGACGAGTGAATACTCAGGCCAGCCTGTCATGAATCATGAACTTAAAGACCTTGCTGGGACCTTGCTTCCATAACATGCTTCCAGGCTTCCTCCAGCCCTGTGCGACAAACTACCATGAGCTGCCATGTCATGCGCTAACCCTGGAAGGCATGGGCACGGCAGAGGCAGCAATGAGGAAGATCTACCAGACCATGGGCAACTCCATGGAGCCGCGGAACTCCATGGAGCCGCCGATGCTGAAATGTTTGAAGGCTGGCCATTGTGCCTGTTCGGTGACATCCTGGAGAGGGCCCCAGCTGATGCAAGAGCAAGGCTGGAGCAGCTGCGGAAGCAATATCGACAAGGCGCAGGGCTGGACCTTGCGAGCTCACTGCTACTGCCATGGGCGCCAGTGCTCTGCGAAGTTCATACGACCGCTAGGTTTCCCGGATGGTTTGATGGTCCATGTAGTTGGGTTCAGCTGCACAGACTGGAGTTCCATGGGTGTTGGCGAGGGATGGCTGGGCAAGACTTCACTTGTCTTCGCGCAGTGGCTGGCAGAGCAGATGGAGACCCCTGACCAGGACTTCCTTGTGACGGAGTGCGCCAGCAAGTTTGATGCAGAGCACTTTTGCATGGCTGGTGAGTGAAAGATACGAGCTGACAGTGATACATGTCAGTCCGGAGTTGTTTGGTGAGCCAACTCAGAGGAATCGCATGTGCATGATTCTTCTGGAAAAAAGCCGTACGCAGTGGTGCCTGCAGGGCTCAGCTCAGGAGGTGTATGAGCAGACCTTCCGCCGCAGGCCCTGCGTGAGTGTGCTAGAGAAGGGCATGGGAAGGAAAAAAAAAGGCTACGCGGGATTGTGTGTGCCAAATTTTGCCAAATGTCTGGTCCGTCTGGTTTACTTTCAACTCATGCCACAGCAACCTGGTCAGGTCGCGATTGCAATCTAATGAATGTCCTGCTGACGCCTCGGACCCTGATGC